CTGTGGCTGTTGGTTGATCCATAGAGATAGTTCATAAAGTCAGCCATAGAATTTCCCCAGCTCTATAAAGCAAAAGAGAGCGAGAGAATATTTCCAGAGAAAAAAGCTGTTTCTGTTTCTAGGATCCTCAACAGCAAAAATGACACAACTTTATAGCACACATCAGGAAAGTATAGCTGTAAAATTTTAGGACTAGTGTGTGAAAATTTCATCTAAGGTGATACCTGCAGGAGGTATGAGAGTGCCTAATTTAAAATCCATGGAAATGTAACATGCCACACACACAAAAGTAAATATTAGTTATGATTTTTTTGTGGAAGGTTTTTGCAATCTGCTGTTCAGTTTTGCACAGTGATATCATCCAGCTTAGCTGTATAGCCATGCCAGTATTGGAAGAGTGTAGCAACATATGCAGTCATTAACAAGCAAAGTTGTGGTATTTAAAAGTTGTAATGTTTAATGATCGCACCTTCTAAGAAAGAAAGCAGGCAAAAGTCATGAGGATCTGTAGAGTTAGAGGTATGAAACTTTTAAAACAGAGGATAAAAGACCCTATAATTTCTGTTCAATAAATCTTCATATTTTAGTTTATATCTATAGGTGGAACAACTAGAGTTGGTGAAAAATATAAAATAAGAATTAATATTTAAAATCTGAAGGTGAAATTTCTCTTTTGCCTCTGTCATCACTGCAGTTGAGGAGATTATTGCATTATCTCTGTGGAGTTTAAATTTTGCATAGCAGAGAAAGGGAGTGAGATGTTTCCCCCCTCTTCAAATAACAGGTATTTTTTGTTTCAGCTGTTTTTGCTTTGTATTCAGCAGTACACAGAATAAAAGATGCCTGGAAATTGCTGTAATGTTTTTAATTCAATGTAGTTAAATAATTTCAAATATCAGAATACATTTAAATTTCATTTTTCTTTTGAAAACCAAAGTTATATCTGTAATTTATTTCAGGCATCAAGTCTCTGAAGTGCCAGTATATCTGAAATGGTACTATATCCCTGGTAAATTGCCTTATATACCAGACACAGGCAAAACATTGGAAATACTTCACTAATTAAAACTTCCATGGAGGTGAAAAAATGCCCCAGGATACTACAATTGTGTTAGTTATTTTTGGAGATGTAAGTTTTTTGAGTACTTCCAAAGAAATTACATACAATTTCCTGCCTTTATGGAAGAGTTTACTTCCTTAATGGAACTGTTTACCTGCACAGTTTGCATCTGCTTATTCCATACCTTAATTTTTGGGAATGTTTTTCAAATAACCAATTTGGTCATGGGATCATTAAAATATGATTTAATTATGGGAAGTCATGCAAGTTTTGTAATACTTAGAGTGCAAATTGTATACAATGTTTTCATTTGCATGTTTGTGTAGTATTTTAAACATTTGGGTAGGCCTGTAGTGTTGTTACTAAGGTGAACATAGATCCACATCACAAGTTAGTTTACACATGTTCTGTATATGTTACTTTGAAATTCTGATGGATTTCAGTTCACCCGACTGAGATTTTGTCCTTTTACTATGCAGAAACAAGCTGTTACACACTCTTATTTCTCCCTCTGTGCCTCCATTGTTGTTTATATCTTCATGTTGCAAGTGGAGTCATGGTGAGGAAGATGCTGCTCTAAGGTTTTGTGAGGTTTTGGCAGCCTTATAGGTAATATATGTAATATAGCACTCTCTGACAGCTGCATTATTCTCAGTCTTTAAGTATTACAACAGACATCCATAGTTACATTTAAGTTCAGCCTAACAGAAAGTGTTGGGATCGTCCGAAGTTGCTGTGGCATTGTCATTCTGTAGCTGGGATTTTTGAATGTGGTGATTGTCTTGCTCTGCTCTGGTGTACACTGTGGTGGCATTACTTCGAGTCTAGTGTGTGGTTTTGAGTGCCAGAATACAAGAATTTTAAACTGTTAGGGATTGTCCAAAGGAGGGCCATGAGGATGGTGAAGGTCCTTGAGGGGAAGCCTTGTGAGGAGTGGCTGCAGTTGCTTGGTCTGTTCAGCCTGGAGAAGAGGAGAGTGAGGGGAGACCTCACTGCAGTTACTTCCTCACGAGAGGAAGAGGAGGGGCAGGCACTGATCCCTTCTCTGTGGTGACAGTGACTGCACCTGAGGGAATGGCCTGAAACTCCGCAACAGACGAGTTTACACCGGATATTAAGAAAAGATTCTTCACCCACGGGGTGGCTGGGCACTGGAACAGCTCCCCAGGGCCACAGCACCAGCCTGGGAGAGTTCAACAAGTATTTGGACAATGCTCTAACTCACATGGTGTGACTCTTGGGGTGTCCTGCACAAGGCTGGAAGTTGAACCATCATCCTCATGGTTACCTTCCAATTCAGGGTTCCCTGTCTTAGTATGTTTTAACAAAATGTGAAACACTCTAAATTAGAGATGTTTAATGAAAACTGTGGCATAATTTTTTAGACAGGAACTTACAAGTCTTGTATTCATGAACACCTGAACTCACATGAGTGTTTTAATATAGTAATATAAATACAAGAAAATTGCATGGTAGAATGGACAGGGAAGTGTTTAGTTATCCATTAAATTACAAACATTTTGGATCAGAAGCTACTTCAAATCTATTTTCGAGATCTCCCACAAATTATGTTATAATTCTGGATGTTCACACATACAATTCTTGAAAATATACTTACCAAATATACTGTCTGGGTAGGTCCCAACTTTCTAAAAATCACTCCTGTAGAAAATTCAAACTTGCTTCATGCATGAAATTGAAACTTTAGCTCTCATTCGTATTTTTTGTATCATATAGTATGATCCAGAAGCCAAAGACATTGCTTAAGGAAAGTGATATTACTGTATTTATTTTATTATATTATCCATTCCAACTGTGTCAATAATGTTCTCTTTTTCTTTCTTTGGTGACCTGATCTCAAACAAAGCTAGGCAGTGAATGGTTTTTAGCAATAAAAACATAATGTGTAAGGAAACATTTCAGTAGCTCTTCACTTTTGAACAAAGTAGTTCTTTGCTTTTATTGTCCATCAGTCCATTAAAATTAATTCAGGTTTGGGGGAGTTTCACAATAAAACCACCATTGGCAGACATTTGGCAGCAAGCAGATGATCTATTTCTTAGTTTCTCCTGTTCAGTCAGTGACTTTATCTGCTTGTCAGCTAGGTCTGAAATCCTGTTGCAGATTTTATGAGAGAAATTTCAGACTTGAAAACAGTTTCAGGTTCATAATTCTGTTCAGCCACAGGACTGCAGTAGCCTGTGGCAGCATTGGATTTCTCGAGTGGCTATCCCCCACAATCCTTAGGTGATGCCTGCTTTTCAAAGGAGACAGACATACAAATAAAAAAAATAAACGGAAGAGAAAAAGGGGCTGTGGCTTTTCCCATACCATGTTTATGGAGAGACTTTCCTGGCATGTTTATTACAAATCAGGCATTTGGAAAACATGCTCTGCTTCTTGGTTGCTTTACCCTTCCATTTTCAGAGGTGTCATGAATTGTCCAGGAGGGATGACAGGCCAGTCTTCTGACTTCTAATAGATCTCTGGGCATTTTTGCTTCATACAAAGGCTATATTGGTGAAGTTTTGTCTCAGAGGTTTGGCTAGTGTTTAATTCTGAAGATTTACACTGATTTACAACAACAACAACAAAAAACCAAACCAAAGAAAGATGACTGATTTAGTTCCTCCTGTAGCTGGAAAAGTGAAATACATTTTTGGAATTAAACATTTTTATTTACTCAGTTTATTCAGCTAACTGCTATTTCTGTCATAACCACTGTGGTAGTTCAGGAAAATATGTACAGCATTTTGGTAAAACCTAGTTTAATTTAAATGCACACAAATAGCCAAAAAAAACAAGTGCTTCACAGTAATGAAATGTCAGCTCACTGGTCTTATGCAAATCTAACCACCACATAGTCCTACAAACCAAAGAACAGACAAAGTATGAACCTTTTTCATCATAATAGTGCTGAATTACTAGAACTTTTTCAGCTCTTTCGAAGTAGGTTCTGTAGGATCAGGTATCTCCTAGTAACTTGGGAATTATTTTGCATTGGGAAAATGGAAATTATTTTCCATTATTTTCCCATTACTATAAAAATAAGAGGTGATAATAAAAATAATAACTAGAAGACTGAGGTGATGAAGCCTAGATACAAAAACCCCCACACTTTTGTAAGTATATAATGGATTGTAGCAAAAAGAATACTGCCAGGAAAACCAGCATAAAGTGATTACACTGTTGAAGCTCACAATCAGTTTTTAACCCTGCCTATAGTTTTCTGAGGGGAATAAAGTAGGAGAAGACATGGTTGCTTTTTCAGTATCTTCTCAAGTGGAGATGTCGTGATTACAATTCCCAAAAATTCCAGTTTTCTTATTCTGGAATCCTGTTTTAAGTACTTGTAGAAACCCATGAGGAAGATCCTAAATGTATGAGACGTTGTTTTCCAAAAATAATTGAGTAAGTGTTTACAAGATTTCTGGTAAATAAAGGGGAAATTCTTATATTCCCAGATGGCCATGGAAAGTGTCTGCTCTTGTCAAAAGTGTCTTGAACTGAACAGTCACCTGCACCATCTAGATTTTGGTTGTGAAACAACTGAGTTGAACTGTTACTAGTTAGATCTTAATGACCAGTCTGAATTTGGTCGTACTTATAGAATCCTTCAGTTTTGTTATTTTTATTGGTTATTTTTATTTTTTTATTTGTTTCAATGTTATGGTAACAATTATTGGTGTCACAAAAGAAAGAAGTCTAAGAAGATGCAATTTTCCCCGAGAGCAGCTTCACTCCCTGTGATGTTAGCTTAAAATTTACTTCCTTTTTGCATCTTCACAATCATCTTCATGATATTTGATTTTTCAAATTGAATATAACATGTTGGTGATATAATCAATGTGAAGAATTATTAATCTTGTTCATTGCATATGAGCTGTCTGCAAAAATAGAAAATGAAGTCCATTTTACTGTTTTGTTTGTTTTGAATTAGGTTCATGCACTATTAGTTCGAGAAGTTGATGTAGAGAAGGTGTCAAGTTTTGAGAACCCATATGTAGATGCAATAAGAAGCTTATGGAATGACCCTGGAATTCAGGAGTGTTACGATAGACGACGGGAATATCAATTATCAGATTCAACTAAATAGTAAGTACATGGTAGCGATGAACAACGATGCATAACTTTCTGTTTCTAACAAAGTTTTACTTTTTAGCTTATTATACTATATGTCTGTGTACATGTTTGCATGCATAAGGTACGCAAACATATCTAAATATACATGTACAAAAATGAATTAAGAAGTGGCATACATCTATTTTAGGATTATATCTGTGCTTATTTACTTATTTACTACAAAATGGTAGTCTGTGATCATTCAAAGTCTTAAATTAACATTCTAACTAGGACTGACTAATTTGGGGGGGATTTTTGTTAGACCTTTTCAACTTACTCTCTTCCAACATATAATCACAAATGCAATATGGGCAAAAATAATTTCATGTAATGTGACAGTAGTGAATATTGGGAAGTGCTATCAAAGTAGACCTCCATACAATTCATAAAAATGAAATGTCCAAGAACTTCTGTTTTCCAGATTTTCCAGTTTCCTTCCCTCTCTGGCATTTGCAGTCTTAGTGGTGAGGTAAACAGTACTAAACAAAGGGATTTTTTTTTTATACCAAACTGTTTTTCTATTGTGGAAACAAAGTCTAAACTTTAAAGAACATGGCTGCCAGGAAGAAATCAGGAAAGCACTTCAAGTTAAATTGTTTGTTCTACAAGATCAACAATAATAAAAATGTGCATGTGATTTAAAAAATACCTGAAATGTTATCCCTTTCTTGGCACTGATTAAAAAACAATGTGAAATTTGTCATTGGAATCTGATGTTTGCCTGAAGTTTTACATGAATCTTAGTTATTTTTCATTGATGTAGCATACAGCTCAGGTGAAATTTCTCAACTGCTGTTAAAGAAACAGATGATGGCCTTGTGATAAAGGGCACAGTATGGTTTGTTTTTAAAGCCATGGTGAAAACCTCTGTGGGTTCTACATTGACTTTTGTATTAGCTATGAAAAAAAATTATTCCAGTCTCCATTTGGCATGTGTACATGAGTGAAAGCCTCTCACTTAAGAAAGTGCACAATGAAGCTTCCACTAAGCCCATTGTAGCAGGACATTAGACATGACAGGTGTGTTTATCTGCACAGTTGTCTAAGCATCCTTATCTAGTACTGCACTTTATAAGGGTATTAGTCAAGACAAACTTACTAGGATCTTGCTGATAGAACTTTAGGCAGCTGAAGACCTGTGGATGTATGATATAAGTCTCCTCAGTTCCATTGCAGTATTATCACCATGCCATGATTTCCCTTTGGCCTATGCATAGAGTTTATGTTGTCCTGTGCAGTTCTCTGTCCTGGTTACCTTCCCAATCCATAATTTTTGAACATACATTTTGGTGTAGAGTGGTGCAATGGCATCTCTCTTGGCATCACTCTTGTATTGTTTAGATTCTCACTGTCCCCAAACATACCATACTGTGTTTCGGCTTTAGGTGGTAAGGAAACAAATATAATATTACATAAAGAGAAGAATTTCAGGATGCATAAACATTGATAAGAACATTCTAGAAAAATGTTACTAAAAATATATTTTCACATTATTTCTGTTCTGAAATGAATGGCGAAGTTAAGTAGAAGGTGAAGCAAAGTTCGTCTCATATTTTTAATTTCTTGTATTTGTAGGTCCTAACTTTGTTTCCACAACAGATGAGGTACTGGTTTTAAGTTGAAATAAATGTATGTATTTTGTGTGTTCAACCTTAGAGGCTTAAAATAGAATTATTCTCCTAATTAGGAAATAATGATCTGATGCTACTTCAGATCAGATTGTGCTGAATACCATAGTTTTGATCTACTTTTTATTAAATTGGCAGCGTAGTGGATCTTTTGAGTAGTATTAAAAATAGTAGAGATAATCATTAAGTAGCTGTTAAAAAAACGTCCTAGTACATGGTCTTGCAAAAGGTACATATGCTAGTTGATTGGTTATTTTTCAAGCTCAGCATGTTTAGCAGTTTACTATGAATTTTTGCAGATTTGGTGATTTTATTATAGTTCATATTATGGATTTCTGCAAAATCTTTTAAATTAGTCTTGTTAATCACTGTGTATGAGTATTTAGAAAATCCTCTATCTGTACTTATACATGCAAGTAGAGTTTTTTTCCAGGTATGTAAGTCCACTAAAAAAAATCAGAACAAAAGAGACATTGTTTCAAAAATACAGTAAGTGTGTTTACCAGTAAAACACCCAAGCAAATTTATTAGCATTAAATCCCTGTCACAAAGCAAGGAAACAAATTGCTTTAAAGCTACTACTGGGATTCATGAGACAGTAAGATAGAAAAAAAGCACTTGGTACTCATTGTCTTATGACCTGTTGCATGAACTGGAATGGCTTGTTGTCATATGCTCTCTTCTAAGCATATGTGCCAATGTCTGGTGTGCATATGTGTCAATGGCAGATGTGCTCTTCCTTCATCCCTTGCACGACCCTCTCATCTTCTCAGTAGTTTTTCACTGTACTGTAGTAGTAGTAGTAGTAGAAGTAGTAGTATTTTCAGTCTGCTGCCTATATTGCTCTTTTCTGTCATCAGTCTTCAACAAATTTAGGTGCCGAGTCCTGCCCTTGGGTCACAGCAGGCCAAGGCAGTGATACAGGCAAGGGTAGAGTAGCTGGAAAGCTGCCCAGCAGAAGATGACCTCAAGGTGCTGGTTGACAGCAGATGAAGAGGAGCCAGCTTGTGGCTGAGAAGGCCAATGGCATCCTGGCTTGGGTCATAAATAGTGTAGTTTTCAGGACTGCATCTGATATTTCTTGTATCAGAAAGACTGTGGAAGGGGTTCATCCCCCTGCAGTCAGTGCTGCTGAGGCCACACCTCAAATCCTGTGCCCAGTTCTTGCGGCCCCCTTACTGCAGGACAGACACTGTGGGACTGGAGAATGTCCAGAGAAGGGGAGCAGAACTGGTGCAGGGCACAAGTCCTGTGAGGAGCAGCTGAAGGAGCTGGGGGCCTTTAGCCTGGAGTAAAGGGGGCTCAGGTGTAAACTTACCACCCTCTACAACTGCCTGGAAAGGAGGGGGTAGCCAGCTGGGGGTCAGACACTTTTCCAGGTAACAAGAGATAAGACAAGAGGACATAGCCTCAAGTTGCACCAGCTGGGGTTCATTTTTCTGAGCATCAAGAATAGTTTATTTTTGGAAAGAGCTGTTGAACATTGAAACAGACTGCTCAGGGAGGTGGTGGTGTCACCATCCTGGAGTTGTTCAAGAAGTAATTGGATGTTGTACTTAGTGGTATATTCTTAAGTAACGAGGTGGTGATTGGTAAGTGTTGGACTTAATGATTTTTGAGGTCTTTTGCAATTTAAATTATTCTCTTACTACACATATTATTTTTCCTGTTATTTTATTGTTTCTAGATTACATTTCAGGTTTCTGGTATGTCCTGTATATCATATTGCTTTCACTTTCAGCCATCTTTTGTCCTGTTTTGTCATTCTTTGTCATTGTTAGCATTATTTTTGATGTTTTTATACCCACTGCTTGTACTATGTTTAGTAGAAGAAATGGGGGTAGTGTCTAAGAAAGAAAATTCCCTGCATTATGGAGAATTTGAACTTCTTGGAGGCTTAACAAATTCATTCTATTCTCTTTCCTGACCATTGGATGCTCCAAAGCTTGGATGTTCATGTTGTTTTAAAGTCAACTTTTAGACTTCTCTCTAGTAAAGTCAAGAGCACCTGAGGTATATGGAGGTTATTTCCTCTCCATGTGCATTACTGGGTGATTTAGCCACTTAATTACCATCAAATTACTTTTCTTTAAGATGCTGCCTCACCATGTAAGACAGATATAAACTAATAACATGGTGAATTGCCTTTAGTAGTAGCTATGTGAGATGAGATAATTCAGAGTATACTGTACCAGCTGCCTAGACCTTAACCCAAATGTAAAAAGGCTACCAGTGAACTTTTTTATTGTATCATACCTTTTCAAAGCCTAAAGAAAGAAGAGTCAATAGTCTTCTGTGTTAGAGAATTTGGGTTGCAGTTGGAATTTTTGAAAATTCATCACCATTTTTCTCTAGTATGGCACTAAGGGCTTACCATTCATGAACAAAATATGAGAAGTGTTAAGACCTAGTAAGTGTTCCAGAGTCTTGCTTGGCTCAGATTTTCAATTTCATCTTTTTCTGGTGAAGTATTTGGCTGCTGTTTACCTCCAACCAAGGACTTTCTAGTTGCTGCACAAATGCTGAGCATATCTGTTTAGTTTCCCTTTCATGGCTATGTTTTCTAACACTTCAGATAATTAAATATAGTTATCCCATTAGTGTGTTAGCTATGCCAGTGGATATCTATAACACATTTTATTATTACGTAATGTACTGCGTCATTAGTCATACATGCCAGTGCATTCTCATATATGTATAGTCTTTCTGGCTCTTGTTTCTGCATTTGCTGTCGTCTTTAACAGCTCAGTTCCTTCAGTTGCACAGCTCTCCATATAGTGTGAGCTCAGGTAGTTGGATAGTTAGTATAGAAATGCAGATTCCCATACTTTACTCTGTAATAAGAGCTCAGGGGTGTGAATCTGAGGTCATTTACCACATATCACTGATTTTTAACAGGAAAGAAACATATGAAACCTAGCAGTATCTGCTCAGTAAAGTACGCCTTTTGTAAAACTTGTTGCAGGAGGTGTAAGGCTTTGGTCATCTAGTAATTTTTCTGTAACAGTATTCCATTTGATTTTGAAGTATTTTCGAAACTTCAGCTGATCAATTCATTTATACCCGTCAGCTGAAAATATAATCTTCCTTCTGTGTTACTCTTCTGAAACAGGTAAATTTCAGTGGAATTAGCACCTGTTAAATACAATGTGCTTGGGGGTACATGGGGGCAAGGTCAGCACATGAATCTTAAGGTTTTACTAGCTTTAACAGTGTAGTCTATTTCTTAGCATTGCCTTTAGCAATCATTTTCTTATTTCATAAATGTGTAGGGCACTCTTAGAGTATGATGGGTCTTTCAGAAATAGTAATACTGTCCAAAATTGGGACCTGCTATGAAGCTGA